AGACAAAGATAGAACAGTGCATGCCAGCCCACAAGCGATAGATGTGTATCCATCTGTCCAATCACGGCAAGCGGTCAGCCGATTCACGAGAGCCTCTCTCTATTGCTCTAACGTGAAAATGTAATTAAGCGTCTCATCTTTATTTCTAAGGATCCTTAGGTTAACATATTGTATATAAACAGTTTAATTTAGTTATCATCATTGTTAATCTCAAATAAGTTATCTAATTTTTTGTGTTAATTTATATAGTAGTAAATACTACTTTTGTGGTCCTTTATGTTTTATCATGTTGTTTACTGTTCGTTTTTATGTACTTTTTTTATTGTATCATTGAAATGAATAAACGTATTAATATTTTTTTAGATATCATATATTTTACGCACGGGTTGAAGTATCCGAAAATCGTTTTCGACAACTACATTTTCACGGTGCACTCTCGAAACAAAGAAGCCGGTAGAACCAGATGGCGCTGCAGGTCGTGCAATACCAACAGTTGCAAAGCGAGTCTTCTGACGTACGGAAAAAATTTGGAAACGTTGAACTTCCATAATCACCCACCCCCTCCGCCGACTGCCGAAAAATTAATTCCTAATTTCGTTACGGTGATCAGGAAGGATAAGCTCAGAAGGCCAGGGCCGGCGCAAGTTGCAGGGCCAGGAATGGATAGACGTTAAAAAAATTAATTTAATAAACTTGGAATGTTATTTTTTTTTTCTGAAAATAAAAATTTGTTGTTTTTTTTTTAAATTCTCTGTTGTGTAATTTGAACATAAACAAGTATAAAAATTAGAGAGAAATGTCAAAAGAAGAGCTTCAAAAAGTAAACGTCCAACAATTTTCTGTGTGAAAATGATTCATAAGCTATCAAAAAAAGAGGCTGTAATTTTCTCTATTAAAATTACTCTTACAAGTTCAAATTTAAAATGAATTTTTTTTTTCAATGAAGAAATCTTTTTTGTTTTGAACATAAAATGTATACAAAAGTAGAGGCTTTAAAAAATTTAAAAAAATAATCGTCCAACAATTTTTTATGTGAAAATGACTGAATGAACTTCAAATTTAAAATTAAATTTGTTCAATAATGCAATCCTTTTTTTTATGAACGTAAGCTGTATAAGATTTACAAAGTGAGCTGTCAAAATAAGAAACTACCATTTTCTGTGTGAAAATGACTCTTAAAAGTTCAAATTTAAAATTAGACCAATCTCTTAATGTTGGAAAGCATATTTTAGCATCACCCAATAAAAAGCGTTCAACTCTTACCAGTATCTGCAGATCTTACCACTCAAATTTCTCTTTATCTTTTCAAACTATTGTATCCAAACCTTAAAATTGTCGGCATCTGACCAAAATAAGAACAAATCCACTTGTTTTTGGAGTTGTTCTGCTGTTTTTGGAACTGTGTAACATCTCTTCGGATAAATCATCCTTGTTTAGACACTTCGTTTTAAATGTGATAACGTGAACAGGATCCACACTTCTGATGTTAGAAGTTAAAAGAATGAACTTCAAAATTATTGTTTTTAAATGATTTATCACCCTGTATAGCCACTTCATAAAACACGTATTAACATGGTTTTATAATGTTTTATGGAATATCTCGTAAACAATGTTTGTAATGTAATTAATTAAGGAACAAAATAAAGAATGTCTTTAACGGCATATTGCCTATCACTTCATCGCGTTCGGCTGGTCGAAACTGAAGTCCCCGCTCTCTCCTGGTCCTGAACACTGCAACAGGCATACGTAGTACGGTTGGCCCCAGTGGCGGCGATATCCTAATTCACTGATTCTAACAGGGCAGACGTGGTACCGTCGACCCCAGTGGCGGCGATATCCTAATTCGCTGACTCTAACAATAGAATTTTAAAAGTTATGTTATTTTTAATCATCGTACTTACTTAATCGCAGGGTAAAACTGTGTATGTAAATTAAAATTTTTGTTCTGAATAAACTATTATTAAAAAACAAAATCATGTAATCTCTTTTAGGCTTTCTGATGCAAAATTAAATACCTAAAATTTATATTTATTTTGTTTATATAAGAACACCTTGCAATATACAAAATAACGGCCACCCATGAGTAAATGTTTAAAATACAACTGACCAGTCAAATCTTTCATTTATTTCTTAATCCGATATGGGTGTAAATTCAGTGAATGACCTATACAAGCTATTTTATAAAAAAAAATATGTTGCAGACTTTCAAAAAAGTTGCAAATCAAATATAATGTTGTAGCAGTTTTACAATTTTATTAGACGGTTATAATAAATTTAAATTTTTTGCAATTATTAATATTTTCCGGACCTCGAAAAATTATTGTTTACCCAAACACTTGCGTTACAAAAATTTGCTAACTTCACCTATTTTTTTAGAGACCATATATTTTTGTTCCGGTCGGAAATACCCGAAAATCGTCGTAGACGGTTACCACTACATCATGCAGAAACAAAGCGAAAAGCGCAGCAGATGGAGATGTTCGTATTGTAACAAAACCAGATGCAGAGCCATTTTGTATAGTTTCGGTAAAAACGTGAAGACGCTGCAAGGGCACAATCACGAACCGCCTCCGCTCGCCTCCAACGAGGATTTAATACCGCAGCTGGTGAATATTATAAGAGGTTAAAAATTGCTACTAAAACTTAACGAACCAATAATAGAATGAGTCATCAAAAATTGCAAACTACAAAAAAGTCAGCTGGGTTAGATTGATGTATTGAATGAAGTGTGTTTGAAATATTTCCAACAATATTTTTGTAAACACACAAAATAAACTGACAAAAAACTTGAACAACGTATTTCGCTTCTACGGTAAGTAAACACGAATTCGCAATTGCTGTATCCTCGAAAGTCTATTGTTTTCAAAATGCATGGTTAATAGAATTAATCTAGCCTCTTATAATAGTATATAATCCTTGGTTTTCCATTTAATATCACATGATTTGGATTGCAAGAAAAACAGCTGATTGCTTACTATAAAGTAGTTCTAAAGGTTTCTATAATCACTTGCTCAATACAAACTGTTTGTGTACTTCTCGACAATGGATGAATTATCTAGCAGCTGAGGTTTTTTACACCATTGTTTATACAGATGACTCGTTTTATTATTTGTTTGGCTAGATTTTATACAGGATGATTCCAAACTTGATTCTTTTTTTGACACAAGAATTTAAATGTGATGACCTCGGTGATCAATTAAAAAAAATCGAATCCGGATCTGTCATTGGTCGGAAAGTGCGGAAGTTATTCATTAGATATTATTTTCCTGAAATATACCAGTTTCGTGACCATCGATGTCACCAGACTTAAATCCTTGTGATTTTTATCTTTTTATTTTAATTTTTTAAAGCTATTTTTATGCATTGTTACAAGTAAATAATCACCCTGTATAGGTTCGGAAATTAAACAGATATTACTTCAATTTGTTCTTATTAAAACCCAAAGAAGTGTTTAGATGTATATAAGAAAGAAAAGGCTACTATAATGTCTTCTCTTTTGCTCCTACACGTTTGTGACTGTGGGGTTATGTTTTTTCCGAATCTACAGCGTGTTTTAAAAGTTGAGGTTTTAATTACAATATGTATTTATATTAATAGAGGTAAATCAGATTTAACATCCCATTTTCCTTAGTTCGTATAGATGAATTAAAAATTGGTAACAATTAGTATTCAAAAAACACAATACTCAAGAGTTCGATTGACTCTCCGAGTAAAAACATTTTTTTAGATAATCCGTGCCGAAAAAAAAGGTGATCATTTTCAAAACGAAGCAGGTCCGTACTTAAAACTTGAAAGGTCCATATCTCTTTAATTTTTGAAAAAAAACTTACTAGAAAATTTTGTTTGTATTATGAAATTCTATACGATATTAAAAAACACTCAACTTATGAAACGCTCTGTATATAAGCAAAATAATTGTAAAATATACAGTAGATATTATGTTAGGTTAAATGGATAAATGATAAGTTGAGGTGAACAGATTTGTATAACAAATAAATAGTAATACATTTTTTTTATTTACTTTTACTGTAATAAATAATTGGGTATATACTGCATTTTATTTAATTTTTCCAAAAATAAACTATAATCCATAAAGCCACAGGGGTTATTTGCAAAAAGTTTTTACATTGATTATTATTGGAGCCCATATCACTTAACAATAACGTTCAGTCCAAAATTCCTTAACTTTTTAATAGCATCAAAAACTATATACTTTAACTCTAAACCAGGGCATATACTATTGTAAAAAAAATAACTCAAAGGTTGCATCCAATTAGAGAAAATCCATTCCATTGTCTGGGATAGAGTATAAATTTTGGGATAACTAATAAAGCTAATAAAGCACTTAAAAAACAAATATGGATGCAAATATGAATGCAAATGTGCACAAAAAACAGTCAAAATATGCACTAAAGACATATATTTTTGAATTTAAATGTGAATTTAATAAGTAAAGTTAGACATTAAATTAACTAAAATTAACTACACTTTGAGATTGAAACCGGATATTTGAGCGCGATAATTATAATTTTTCAATTTTTTCTAATTGGTATATTCATTATAAAGTTTAATAAAAAAATAGATTATTATTTTTATTGATTTAATAAAATAAACATTAAGGTATGTATGAATAATAAAGGTATAATTAGAGTAATTCCAGAAAGGTATTAGAGATTAAATATAGAAATGTATCATAACAAGCAACAAAACATTCGTTGTACGTTGTTAATTATATTCCTTTTAAAGAGCATTGTGCAAAATTTTATTTTTCGATACTGGGTGTTTCCATTTCCAGTGCTCCAGTCAACGTGTGGAATTTTTGGATTTTTTAATTGGAATTTGGAAAATTAATAGGAAAATTTGAAATTTAAATTTGGGTAAGACTTTTTATAATTATTTCTATTTAATTGTTGATTTTGGTATTTAAATTAGAGGTTGGGTAGAGTCGGTGTAAGTTTTAAGTATAAAATTTTAAAAAGGATAGAAAGGGAGAAAATCAAATGGATTTAAGAGGGGGAAAGAAGGTTGGATTAGAGGAGAAACGATTTGAGGAAGTGGAAGAGGTTGAAAAAGGAGATATGACTGAACAAAATGTAAATAATAGCGTTGGTGAAGAAAATGAACAGGAGAAGCAAATAATAATTGAAGAAAAATATAGAAATTATGCAGTAATGATGACAATAAACCAACGAGAGAATAGAAAATAAAATAGATAAAGATAGACAACAAGATAAAGAAGAGAGAAAGCAAGAAAGGTTAGAAGATAGAGATAAAATTATAAAGAAAATGGAGGGAATGGAGAAAAATATAGAACAGGACATGAAAAATGAAATAGAGAAGGTAGAAAATAATTGTAATGAATAGATTTACAATAATTAATCAATAATAGACTGTAATAAATAATTTAGCGTAATTACATTGTTTAAATTTATTTACCAGAACGTGAAAGTGAAGTCGATATTTATACAACCTTTATTATCAGGTTTTTAAATTTCCCGCTGCGTTATTTGTTTGATATTAATGAAAGCGCCACATAGTGGGTCAGATGTTAACTGCGTTAAAGCTGATCGTTGTTAAGCATTGGCTTCTTATGAGCGTTTCCTATCTTTATCTCCCTTATCTCTGCTTATTATATTATCAAACCTGTTTAGCATGACTAAGTTAGATGTCATTTATATTCGAAATGCTTACGCCACACGCTTTATCAGCAGAAGCAGCCGTTTGGAAGTACAAAAGTTAAGTTACAAGTGTTGTGATTGTTATGGAGCTCTAAAAAAATGTTTACCTAAAATATATCAGGACCTTCAAGTAGTTAATACAATAAAAATTTGATCATTTTAATATGTTAATACCGTTATTTTTTAGGTGTTGGTTATTACTCATCGTACGGAAAAGACTTTGTGATCGTCCAAAACAACAGAGGAAATCCCACTGCGATTTTGGACGGATGTCGTTATAGAAAATATCGAACGAACAATAATTGCGTCATTACGTGGATATGCAACAAACAGAGGTCGCGCAAATGCAAGGGCAGAATGAAATCGTTAGAAGGAAAAGTCGTTTCGATAAGACCTCATACGTGTTTGATGAAACCTTAATCAAATCGGAAAATCCTTTAAATATATCATTTCTTACCTCGGACAATGAAAAAATATTTATATAATATCGTAAACAAAATATTGACAGATCTTTAGGACTTCAGGAGTAAATAATAGAAGCGGGAGACACGCATGCGCATTTGCATTTGTTTGGGAAAAATTTAATTTTGACAATAGAGAGATATTGCAAATTTCTATAACGTTAGCCACTAATAGTGACAATATAATTAGAAGCAAATAAATTTCATGCTAAAATAAGGCTTATTGTAAACCTGAAATTTTAAAATCAGATTCCTTGTCCTTATACATATTTCTAACCTCATTTTAAAAGTTTTAAATTACACTTCATCTTTTTTGTTGTTTATTACATAATTTGGAAGAGAAAACTATAAAGTCATCACTAACTGCTGTCCTTAAAAAATCCCCAATTATGGACAGACACAATCTTTATTAAAGTCAGTTCTAGAATGTAAGTGATCTGCGCATGCTCAGATGTCAAAATAAGAGCGGCATTAATAGTGACTGACCTTAAGTGAACTTGCAATAACTCTCTAATTAGGCATTCCAAACTGAATGGCTACCAGTGGGTTTTGACGGGTTATGATATGGAAAAATTATGGCAACCCTGTAGGCCTGGTGATTTGACAAGGTCAATGAAATAGATAGTTACATAGATTGATCATCCATATTTTTAAAAATAAACATAAGCTTATGCCTTGAAGTAAAAATGTAAGCAATTATTTTTTTTTAAATATCTAAAGGCTAAAAATTGGTTTTAAAACACATTTTTGCTAAAACGGTACAAATTAATAAATATTTGCCAGACAATATGGCCGCTCGTGAACGATCAGCTTTGAGCAATCTATATAACTATATATGTATCATTGACCCTGTTAATGACAACAGGGTTGCCATATCTAAACTATCATTACCCACTGGTAGCCATTTGGACAGGTCGTTGGAATGCCTAATTAGGCATTCCAAACAAATGAATAGCCAGTGGGAAGGTTTTGTATATCTAAGGGTGGCGACATACGGTGTATTCTATCTACTTTATGTAAAATCATGAATAATGGATTACATTTAAATATTTTATGTCAAACACAAAAAAAATAATATTTAAAAAACCTACCTATACATTTTTTCATAAATTGGCAGGCTTGGCGACTACTACTTCGAATAAAAATAGCATCCAAGTTGCAAGACTATGTCGCTACCCCCTTAGATATACAAGAATTTCCCACTGGCACATATTGTTTGACAGGTCGTTGGAATGCCTAATTAGGCATTCCAAACAAAATGGCTACCCGTAGGAAATGACAAGCACATGATAGGTTATAATAATATGACAACACTGTGGATCTGGTGATTTGACAGGATCACTCATTTAGATAGTTATACAGATTGATCATCCATGTTTTTAAGAATAAACATAAGTATATGCCTTGAAGTTAAAATGTAGGTAGTTATTTTTATTTCACTATTCAAAGGCTGGAAATTGATTTTAAAACAGATTTTTGCTAAACCGATTCAAATTAATAAACACTTGCCAAGCAATATGGCCTCTCGTAAACGACCCGATTTGAGCAATCTATATAACTATATATGTATCATTCACCCAGTCAATAGTCGTTTTCACAAAGCATGTATCTTCTAGAGACCCCACGCCAATGTTAAACTTTTAAACCAAATTAGCGCCACCTTGTGTTTGGAGCTGGAACTAAAATGACAATTGACAGATGGCGGTAAATTCAAATTGTAATTTTTAGGAGTAGGTAGTAGTTTTAAATTAAATTTTAAATGATTTCCACATAAATTATTTTATAAAATAAAGTATGGAACTAGTAAGTTCGAAACTTTTATTTTACAAAATAATTTAGGTCGATTATACCAATTTTGAAGAATTAATTTGTTATAAGGGGTCTAATGTGGAGAGTTGGTTCTGCATATTTTTATTAAATAAATATAAGATATAACAATAAATAATAAAATAGAACATTCTTAAAATATGTTTATTAATAACTTAAATAAATATTATTAGATACAAATAAATACAAATAATAATACATATTTAACGAATACTTACTTGGAGCAAATAGATATATAATCTCAAATCTTTAAAATAGGTACCCATCAATAATTTAAATGTGAAGTAGAGACTAGGATATTACATTTTATTAACACTAAAGTTATATATTTTATAAATGTCTTTTTAACTGAGGACAAATGTAATATAGGTATTGTATTAAAAGGTGAATCCTTTTAACTATTCATTCAATGATAAATAGGTATTTTCCTTCCAAATACAGATGGTGGTATTACTCTCTTATGTGAGAAATGATTTCGGAATCTAGTCCAGTGATAAATTGATTATCAATTAGTTGTTGTCCCCGTTTGTCTTTTTATGATGCAGATGCATGGTGAATATATGGTGAATCAATGAAGTTTTTCTCGAAGTTTTCAACGTAGCACCAAAATTATTGCAAAACACAGTAGGAAATAAAAAAGCGAAACATCACAATTTTGCAAATAACTAAGACGAAACTATAAACAGAAACCAAAAGCCAAAGCCAACAAAAAATCACTAAAATCAGACGGAAAAATATGATTTCACCAGTAGCCCCATCTAGAGTTTGGAGCAAATAGCATAAAAAATGTCAGTTGTCGGTTTTGACCTTGGTCATTCACGTGGAACCTCTATGTGCTTTGTGGTCGTTTCCTTTTTACAAGCATACTTGACTAACTAAAAGTTAGATTCTGATCTAAGCTTAACTGTAAAAAGAACGCGAATTTTGGTTGACAGGTGACGTGCCCCATGTCATCCGTTTAAAAACAATCCATATTTTAATCAAATTTTATAATTTTTTCAACATTCAACACTACAAATCTCACCCCCTGTTATCATAGTCTTTTATTCTCTCTAAAATAATGAATTCATGGGATATGTTTGTTCATGTGATGCACAGAACACTCACTTTCTGTAATGGTTTATGGTTGACGTAAGTACCGTGCACCTTAGCATCGGTAAGGGGGGAAGAAAGATTCTGACTTACAATCATAAAAAGAACGTACATCTCAGCTTAGTCGATGTAAGTTAGCTCAGGGCTGGAACTCTGTGTCATGTAGAATTCTACTTATCGCTTTCTACAATAGATTCTTTTGTGGCACTCTGTGTAACATAGCGGAAAACCAACGAGTATATACTTACTACAGGATAACTAGTTTCATAAGAAACCACATTGCGATATTTCCCGTGCGGTTGATAACGTATTTATCACAAAAGAAAGTAATCGATTCCATTGTAGAAAGCGATAAGTAGAATTCTACATGACACAGAGTTCCAGCCCAGATTAGTTGTAAAAAGAAAACGACTAATGACAACAGGCCCACAGGGTTGCCATATCTAAACTGTCAGTTCCCACTGGCAGCATTTTGAGAGGTCGTTGGAATGCCTAATACTGTAACAAGTAATTTGAACCTTCAATTTCAAAAAACATAAAATATATAAGTTGGTCATTTAAAAAGTTAAAATTAATGACATTTCCGCTAAAACCAATAGTCGGCCATTTTGTTTAAACATCAGTTTTAATTCGATATAGTATGTTTGTCTTAAATTTGATCAAAATCGCTTTATAAATAAAAGAAATATTACCGCAGCCGCCTCATTATTTTAAATTCAGTTACACATTTAACAAAGTTATTTAAGATAGATCTACTGTGATAATATATATTAAGTTACGTGTATTTAAAAATGTAAAACGTTGATATTTCAATATGTTCAAAAGAAATATCTAATGTATTTTAGTTTTGATTCATTATTAATTAAACTCGTTAAAAAATACAAAAATTGTTTTTCTGTTTATAAAATAATCTTATTTATAGGGGTAATTGTTGCTAAATCATTTTACTAACATCACCTAAATTTCAGAAACCGTAATCTACCACGTGCGGGGAACGAAAAATCCCAAAGTAGTCGTGGAAAACTACCTCTACAGCTTGCAACGAAGAACGAAAAAGCAAAGCAGATGGCGCTGCATGCAAGTCAACAAAAACAGATGCAGAGCGTTTCTGAACACTTACGGGAACAACGTTAAGGTCGTTAATTTCCATAATCATGATCCACCTCCGATGCCGCCTAGAGACGAACTCATCTGTCAACAAGTCAAATTGAGACGAGGAGAAAATAAATTCATTTATGTTAAATTTAATCGTAATGGCGTGTTATATGACAACGTTGATAGTTCATAAAATAATATACTTTATTACAGATTAAAGAGATCGAGTAAGCACCAATACGGTATTATTTGACATCTAAGCATGCGCAGATCAAAATATTTACTGATTTACGTTAAACGTTAACACAAAACGGTAATTCCATAAATTTAAGTAATGAGTTATGAAAAATAAGGGAAATATGATATTATGTCATTTGTGGTAATTTCTTGTTTTTGTTCTGTTTTATCTATATCTGTTGATTGCATTTATGGTTATTTTAAAATTTTAATGGCAATTTAAATATTTTGTTGTTTGTTATTAAAAGTCCATTGAGAAGAGGCATTTTCCAAAAAAGTATTTACCATAATCATCATCATTATCATCTGCCAAAATTGCCAATTCCAATTCTTGTTACATATTCCAAAAAAACTTAATCGACCCACTAAAATATCTACATGCAGTGCGTTATAACAGCCATCCTGCATAATAAAGAAGAGACGCTTAATTATATATGGCTGTGAGCAGAATAAAAAGAGCAATAATTGATTTAACCACGCCCTTTCGATGGCAATAATTTATATTTTATCTCTATTCGCAATACGATTGTTTCTCTACCGTTCTTCTGGACGGCAGAATTAACGCATCGTATAAACCACAATACAGCGTTAATTCATTAACAAATCAGAACAAATGAAAAGTGCATTGCAACGAAGCATTCAGTGTCAATACTATCAATCTCAAACCGAAAATATACTAATTATAACGGTAATCCTAAAATAAATTTA